ACCGAAACTCCCGTATTAGAACATCATCAATACACAAACAAACCGGCTGCATTCCTATACTAAACGTCATTAGAAAACTTAACACTAATTTTTACAAACACCACATTTTAGCCTCCAATTTAACCGAAAACATTCTATCACATCCACTTCAAAATCACTATAAAAATAACCAAAAAACACTTAACCAAATCCCATTAAATTAAACCTTTCCTTTTCTATTAACGTCTCTATTTTGTGTTTTTTTTCGTTTACAACCTAGCTAGGGCACAAGCGACTGTAAAACAATAATTTTGTAAACAAATAATTAACTATAAACATAAAATCATGTACATACAGGTAATCTAGGTTAGAAGGAACTGTATATAAATTAATAATTAAATTGTAACAATATTTTAAGTTTTACTATGTAAGTAATTTTAAGTTGTATTGTTTTATTTTAAGACTAAGATTAAGAAACACATGTATTTTCAACAATTAATTAAAATTATTTTTATATTTTCGCGGCGAGTGCGAGGTGTGTATATGTATGTTGTATGATATAATATTTTGTAATTAAATAATGTTTAAATAGATTTAATTGTACGAGTTGCTCGCCGCGCATTTTTACGCTTGCAACACGCTGCGGACTCATGCCCCGGTTTGGTTTAGCATCGAGCGGCGGCGTGGTGAAAGCAAGACGTGCGACGGACGTTTAGTGAACTATAGCGCGTCCGGTCGTGCGGCGCCCGCCGGCCAGGCGCATCGCCGCAGCCAGCCAGCCAAAACGATCGAATTATTACAATAATTATTTCAGCCAATGATTATTTCTGCTGCGCAGAGATCGCATCGCATCGTGTCATTTTGCATTTTTGCGAGTATTATATTTAAAATAATTGTTTCTGCACAAAATATTTTTATATTTAACAACCAATATTATTTAATCAGATTATTTGCGTTCAAATAGGCATTTACATTATTAATTTAGGGCAGAGCTACTTACTTGCCGCGCACATTTTGTCGTGCGTGCGGCGAGCAGTGGATTTTATTTTATGAACGTAAACGCACGTAAACGACTGCAAGCTGGCGGACGGTATCAAATTGCGTTTGCATGCAAAACGTACGCTATGTTGCGACGCGACGGCGACGACGGCGACGACGACGACGACGACGATGACGACGTCGTGCATCGGCGTGGAAAACAAAGCGTTGCATTTGTCCGGCAACGCGCACGTAAGAGAAACTTCAACGCGTGTATGCGCGTGCGTAAATGATCGCAGATGCAAGCGCAACTTTGCGCTCGAATTGCGCGTCTCAGTTTCTGGCATGGAAATTTGCGTGATCGGCACACGGTTAGAGAGAGCGTTGAAGGTGGCTGCGTCATTTAAACACGCCAAGCAGCGCGCTAGCGATAAAATGTCATTTTATAACGCAGAAACGTTAGCGGATCGAGATCAGCCAAAAACGCCCGTTCGCTTTACAATGTTTCGTCGCGCGTGTGTTTTTATTTAATACTATCGATGCGCATACGTAAAAAGCGCGAAAATCGCTCTACCGCGTATATGGAAATGGTGGGCAGCAAAGATCCGACGCTCACAGCGTGCAAAGGGAGGCGGCAAAGTAGAGCGTTGGTACAGAAGTTGGATTTTCCGGTTGTTTTCGCAGCCGCATGCGATGCGATAGAAAAACTGTTGACAGTCCGTTGTACCAAAGGTACCCTCATGCACTGTAATTTTTGCAGCCAGTCGCGAAGTTCGTCCCGCCGAACGGTTCACATCGATACACTCGACACGCGTTTCTTGCTTTTCGCAAAATGCTTCGATTTCGCTCGTGTTTTAAAAGCAAGCATAAACATAAACAACATCATGTCTACCGACATGCTTGAAAGCACCGCATCCGGCTACCGCAATCACTGCATTACGCCGGCGGCAAAAGGCACGCCGAAAGACCGCTGCGGCGGCAGAAGGTGCGTCGAGATTACCCGCGCTCGAAGCCGACGCGCCCGCCAGCATCCGGAAATGGTGTACCTGCAACGCAATTAAAGCAAAAGAACGGCTGGTGGTTCATCGCTGCAGGCAATTAAGAAATACATCGCCGCCAGCTATAAGGTGCAGATGCGAAAAATCGCCGTTATTCGCAAATACCTGGGGCGCGTCACATCCGGCGTGTTGGTGCAAACAAAGGTAAGGGCGCAAGTGAATCCCTTTAAACTAACGGCGCCTGCATCACAGCGAAGCGGCCACGCTGCGCCGCTGCCGCCTCCCGCGTCGGAGGCCGCGAAACAAAAAAGTTGTGAAAACAAAAGTGCACCCGGCGGCGTAAAGCGCGCAAAGTCGCCGAAAAAACGACCGCCGCCGCCACCACCGCTGCAGCAGCGAAAAGAGACCGCCGCCACGACCGCCGAAAGAAGGTAAAATCGCCGAAAAAAGCACCTGCCGTTGAAGAAAAGAAGAGGCCGGTAAAGCTACCCGCTGCCGCTGCGGTAAAGTCGCGAAATGCCGTCAAAGCGAAAATCGTCGACGAAAGGTTCGCCGCATAAAAACCGAAAGCGCCGAAATAAAAGAAAACCTAAACCAGCAGCGGCCGCCGAAACGGCAGCGAAAGCGCCGCGTCGCAAAAAAGAAATAAGGTGGTGTTTACAAAACAGCGCCGAGAAATAGCCCCTTTTCAGGGCCACAAAATCAAAAAAAACATTATAGAAAAAACTATATTTTTATTATTATTGTATTTAAATAAATTTTAGCTTTTGCCAGAAATATAAAATAAAATAAATAAATTGTACACATTATATGAAATAAAACTATGCCCATTTAACGCATTTAAATGATACGTGAGATTTTTATGTTTTTTTGCAAAACGCATTGTGGCGCAGCAGCCGAACGGACGTCGCGTTCCCGCTGCGGCGGTGCCACGAATAAGGTTCAGTGGAAAAAAATAATTTTTCTTTTTTTAATAAATATAAATATATATTTTTATTTAATATAGTCGATTAAAATAAAATGTACTTTTACATTTTAACGTGTTTTAAATGCGATTGTGTTCGCGTTGTGCGCGCACGTATTGCGCGTTGTGTGCGTTATGCGCGCTCGGCACGAACACTGGCGCTCCGGACGAAGACGCGTCCGTTCGCTCCGGCGGTGGGTGTGCGGGCACGAGAACAAATTGTGAAAAAATTTTTAAATAAAATAAATATCGTATATATATTTTATTTAATATAGTCGATTAAGAATAAAAAGTATGCGCTTTGCGACAGCGTGTGTTTTAAAATCGGTGATTTATTATTGCGTTTATGCGCGCCCAGCTCGGACGCTGGCATCGGACAGCACTTCCGTTCACTCCGGCGTTGATTATTACGCGACACGAGAACAAATTTTGTAAATTTGCAAATAAAATAAATATAAATACTCCTTTTTATTTAATATAATTGATTTAAAATAAAAATGTGCGCTGCATTTAACGTGTTTTAAATCAGTGATGCGATTGTAGTTTGCGTTGTGCGCGCGTTGCAGTATTGTGCGTTTATACGCGCCCCGGCACAACGCGCTGGGCCTCAGACGCGCGTCAGACACTCCGGCAGTCGGTATGCGACTGAGAACAAATTTTGTGAAAAAATTTTTAAATAAAATAAATACTCTAAATATATATTTTTATTTATATAGTCGATTAAAATAAAAATGTGCTTGCATTTAACGTGTTTAAATCCATGCTATTGTATTTCGCGCGTTGTATTGCGTTTACGCGCTTTCAGCACGGACGCGCGCTGGCGCGCTCAGACGCACGTCCGTTCGCTCTCCGGCAGTCGGTGTGCGACTGAAGAACAAATTTTGTGAAAAAAATTTTACTAAAATGATAAATATACGTACTTTACATTTAGCCATAGTCGATTAAAATAAAAATATTACGCATTTAACGTGTTTTGAAATCAGCAATGCGATTGTATTTCGCGTATTATTGCGTTTACGCGCGCTCGGCGCAACGCGCTGGCGCTCGGCGCACGTCGTTCGCTCCGGCAGTCCGGTGTGTGCGACTGAGCAAATTTTGTGAAAAAAATTTTAAAGGCAAGATAAACAAATATATATTTTATTTAATATAGTCGATTAAAGGCCAAAGTAGCCGCGCATTTAACGTGAACTTTAAATCGATGCGATTGTGTTCCGTTGTGTGTACGTTTACGCGCGCGCGCTCGGCACGGTTTGCTGGCGCTCGGACGCACGTCCGTTGTCAAAGCGGTCCGGTGTTTGACTGAGAACAAATTCTGTGAAAAAATTTTCGGTAAAATAAATATAAATATATATATTTTTAATACCAGATGGGTGAAATAAAAATGTACTTGCATTTAACGTGTTTTACGGTAATCGATGCGTTGCGCATTTCGCGTTGTGTGCGTTTATGCGCGCCAGCTCGGACGCGCTGGCGGCTCGGACGCACGTCACCGTTCGCCCGGCGGTCGGTGTGCGACTGGGAACAAATTTTGTGAAAAAATTTTTTTTTTTTTTTAAAATAAAATAAATATAAGCCATATATTTTTTATTTAATATAGTCGATTAAAACCCAAAATGGCGCTTGCATTCTAACGTGTTTTGAAATGATGCGATTTGTGTTCGCGTGTGCGCGCGTTGCGCGCGTGTTGTGTGCGTTTAAGAAGGCGCCCGGCACGGACGCGCTGGAGCTCAGACGCGCGTCCGTTCACCATCAGCAGTCCACGGTGTGCGACTGAGAACAAAATTTGTGAAAAATTTTTTTAAATAAAATAAATATAAATATATGTTTTGACATAGTCGATTAAAATAAAAATGTGTTTGCATTTGCTTGTGTTTTAAATCGATGCGATTGGCTGTTCTGCGCGTTGTGTGCGTTTACGCGCGCTCGGCTCAGACGCGCTGGCGCTCGGACGCACGTCCGTTCCGGCCTCCCGGCGGTCCCGGTGTGCGACTGAGAACAAATTCTGTAAAAAAATTTTTAAATAAAATAAATATAAATATATATTTTTATTTAATATAGGTGATTAAAATAAAAATGTGATTGCATTTAACGTGTTTTAAATCGATACGATTTTTTTGTGGTTCTGAAAAGAACCGGTCATTATTTGTGGGTTATTGTGGTCGTATTGTGCGCTTAAGCGCGTTCGCCACGGATGCGACGAGCCAGCTGGATGTCTTTGGGCATGATGGTTACACGTTTGGCGTGAATGGCGCACAAATTTGTGTCTTCGAAGAGGCCAACCAGGTACGCCTCGCTTGCCTCTTGTAGTGCCATAACGGCCGAGCTCTGGAAGCGCAGATCAGTCTTGAAATCTTGGGCGATTTCACGCACAAGACGTTGGAACGGCAGTTTGCGGATGAGAAGTTCGGTGCTCTTCTGGTAGCGGCGAATTTCTCGGAGTGCGACGGTGCCGGGACGGTAACGATGGGGCTTCTTCACACCACCGGTGGCTGGTGCACTCTTACGCGCCGCCTTCGTCGCCAATTGTTTGCGCGGAGCCTTCCCTCCGGTAGATTTGCGAGCGGTTTGCTTGGTACGAGCCATGATGCACACACACACGAACGAACGAACGAACGATGTTGACGCACTGAAGTCTGAGCGAGTAATGCGGGCGAAACGCCGATTTCGTTAATATATACCGCTCACTAGATGGCAGCACCGTACCGCGCGTCGGTCGGAGCGGGCGGAGGAGGGTGGAGGGGGCGGGCGCATAAATACGTGCGCGCATGGAATTTTCACATCATTCTCATCTACGCGCGCGTAGCGTACACATCGTGTTCGAGTTTTTCCAACCTCAAATCAACATGACTGGTCGCGGCAAGGGAGGCAAAGGGCTGGGAAAAGGTGGCGCCAAGCGTCATCGCAAAGTTCTCCGTGACAACATCCAGGGCATCACCAAGCCAGCAATTCGTCGTCTCGCCCGCCGTGGTGGTGTGAAACGTATTTCTGGCCTCATCTACGAAGAAACTCGTGGCGTGCTAAAGGTATTCCTAGAGAATGTCATCCGTGACGCTGTCACGTACACCGAACACGCCAAGCGGAAGACCGTCACCGCCATGGATGTCGTCTACGCACTGAAAAGGCAAGGCCGCACGCTGTACGGTTTCGGCGGTTAAACGCGCCCGTTTCGTTCAGTTTTACCCGTTGACGATGCAACCAATGACAAAAAAAACCGGTTCTTTTCAGAACCACAACATTTAATACGTATAGAAAATTAAATACATCAAATTATTGTGGGTGTGTGAATAATAAATAATTTTTTTTTGAAATTTATATATATATATATATATATATATATATATACAATATTTTATTTTTGTTCTCTTTTTTGTGTATGTTTTTTCTCGTTTCATTTTTGTGTATCTTTTTGCTTTTAGCCGCTGTTTTCTGTTTGTGCGACACTGGCTTTATAAAGGCTAAATCAATTTACTTGTGTACTGGCTGGCCGCAAAAAATTGCGTTTAATTTTTTACGGCGGCTGGAGGAACTGCGTTTTGAACGCTTTCCGGTTTCTTTGCGAGCGAAACGCGACGCGGCGGGCGGATGGGCGGTGACGGGACGGGCGGTGAGCGGCGGAAGTGGCCAGCGGCGGCGGGGCCGGTGCGCAGGCGTTCGGCAGGTTACACGGCGGCTGGCGGGATACGCGGAAGACGGTAGAGGCACGACGTTGCCGCCGCGGACGGCTGGGCGTTGAACGCGGTGCTAAGGACGGACGACGCGAGCGGGCGTTCGAACGGAATTGCCGTGCGGCATCGCCGGTGGGCGGGACATCGCTCGATATCTGGGGCGCAATGGCGACTGGTCGCCGTTTCGTCGTTTTCGAGCGCAGGCGGCGGGCAGGCATTTCGGGATCGCGCAGTCCGTTTGCTGGGGTTGTCGGCTGGTTGAAACCGGGCAGACGGACGTCGTGGATTGGTTTATGGGCAAAACGCAGACGCCGTCGTCTGGCGCTATGTTCGTTAATAACGGAAGTTATGGTGCCGGTGAACTGGCGTATCGGCGGGCGCAAAGGCGTCACCAAACCGCCAGTGGCGATGCGCGATGACGCAAAACGCAGAATCGGTTCGGAACACAAGTCGGTACGCGGGCGTTCTGGTGGCAAATATCGTAAACTGGTCGTATCGGTTTATTGTGGTTTAATTAAGTTCAAAATGAATGTGACGTTTGCGTGAACTGGATCGGTGCGGTTGTACGTTTGCGTGCGTTGGCGGTACGTTATGCGCGGCGCTGGAATCGGACGCGTCGTTTGTCGGACAGTTGGTTGAATGAGCCGCGGTTGCGCTCGTGGGCTAGTACACCGATGGTTGGTGACGTTTAACGTGTTTAAGTCAGATGGATGCGTTTTCGCGTTGTGTGCGTTCGCCGGACGCTGACGCCTGGACGCAATCGGCGGTCGGGTGGATGGTACGGTACGTATTTTGGCGCGGTCGGTTGAATAAAGTGGCGTGGTTTGCGTTCCGGTGTGGGTTTTGCGAACTGGACGCTGGACGCATCAGATCCTCGAAACGGATCAGTTGACGAATGGTTGTGGTTTTCGTCGTCATCGTAACAGTTCGGGTTAAGGCTGGTATCGTAACGTGTTTAGAATCGGATGCGTTGTGTTTACGCGTTTGTTGCGCGGTGTGCGGACGCCTGCGCCCGGCGCGCGGTTGATCGGTTGCGTATTCGTTCATCGCTGGTCGGGTGCGGGCTGGAACCGTTTTGGCGAAAGTATATTTGTTTGGTATGGTCTGGACAAGGTGGCGTTTGACGTTGGGCGTCGTTGGGTTGCGTTCGCGTTTGGCGAATGGACGGGCGCGGACGCGTTCGGTTCGGTGGGGCGGGTTTGGGTTTTGGCGAAGGACGCGGGTAAATTTTGGTTCGTTGGGGTAAAGTGTTTCCGTCGTTGCGTTGCGTTTGGTATTTATGCGCCTCGGGCGCGGACGTCGTTCATCTGCGTGGATGGCGGAACAGGCACGCTGGTGGTGTATGACGGTCGGTTGGTGGTTTAAGTCGGTGCGGACGGCGGACGTTTGCGGCGGCGGATCGGTTGCGTCGTTCAGGCAGTTCGGTGTTGGTCGATTTTTAATGGGTAATCATAAATATTTTGGTGGATCAGTTAATAAAGTGTTAATCGGATGATTTTCGTGTTGCGCGTTGTTGCGTTGGCGGACCGGACGCGGACGTCGTTCATTCAGGCGGATCGGACGGAACTGTCGACGGAAAGGTAGATAGTGCAAAGATATGGTCGGATAAAGATAAGTGGCGTGTGGATCGGTACGTTGGTGGTTTGGCAGAACTGGACGTCCGGTTTAGAATGGATCGGATGAGGACGGATTCAGGTGATACTGGGGCTATATGTTGGGTTAGATAATTGGTGCATTTAGCTGATAATTTTAAATCAGTCGCGATATTATATTGATATTTTTATATTATTAATATATTTTGCATGTATCTATATTTATATACATATATTTATTTTGTTTCATTTCAAATGCATACATTACATGCAGTACATTATTCATTTGCTTTACAATAGTTTAAATTTAAAACTTAAACATGTGATGGCGCTAACACAAGCACTGATGTTATGAAATAAAACAATCGATTGTTGTTGGCACCAGCAAGGTCTGAGTGAGCGAGCAGGCGAGCGGTTAATATAATGTTACTCGCATGCTTCTCTCGCTTGGCGGGTGGAGTTCCAGAAAATGCAAAATTGCAACATATGCATGAAAAAGATTTAAACGCATCAATTTAGTCGCGTTGATACCTAAACATATTTTTCATGCGTATAATAAATAAATTCGTAATATTTATTCACTTACTATATTTTTATTTGATATAATTTATTTTATATATATAATATTATATATAAATTTATAAAATATATTATAAAATATATGTAATATACGTGAAATATTGTGTTATTATTTTATATTTGTATGTTTATTCGTTTCTTCGCTCGCGTGTGTGGTATTATTATTGTGTGTGTGTGTGTGCGAGCACAAATTTATAAAATATATCGCAATAGGCGTAGAATATTTGTTATTATTTATTATTTTTATGTGTGTATGTTTTATGTGTTTTGTTTATTCAAATATTTTGTTCGCATTTTATTGCATGCATTTCATTTGCTTTAATAGTTTTGATTTTAATTTGTTATAGCCGCTAAAGCACGCGATATTTATTAATGTTATTTTATTTTAACTAAAAAAAATTCTATTCTAAATTTGATCTCATCTGCGCAAACCGCTAAAATGAATAGACGTCCGGTCAGGCACCTGCACTATCACAGCGAACGTGCTTGGCACAACACAAAAACAAAACACATCGATTGAAAAAATGCGTTAAATGCAGTGCATTTTTTATTTCATTTAATTATATTAAATGAATACTTGTGTATTACTTGATTGGCTATATTTTTATTTTTGCTGGTAAAGTATATAAATTTATTAGAAAACAGTAATATTAATAATAAAATAAAATAAACCGTAAATTTTTTGGTTTTGCTTTTTTTTCTATGATTTTCTTTAAATTTGTAGCCCTGAAAAGAGCAATTTTCTATCCGATTTTCTACACATTCTTAACGAATGCGTGCGTGCGTTCGCTGCGAAGATCAAAATGCGACTGAAAACGTAATAGAACCAAAATCTAGAAATCGTGGCGATTTTCGGTCTGAGCACAGGCTCCGCCCACTTCTATAGGGGTAGTGCACGTTAGACAAAGGGGCGCAAATTTTTCCCGTTTTGTATTAAATGGTTTCGTACGTTTTTATATTTATTTTACATTTAAAATAATTAATAAAATATTTAAATATTTGCCGATATATTAGAAAATACGACGTAATAATAAGGGTAAAATGTTATCGTCATTATTTTATATTTGTATGTTTATTCGTTTCTTCGCTCGCGCGTGTGTGTGTGTGTGTGTGCGAGCACAAATTTATAAAATATATCGCAATAGGCGTGAAATGTTTGTTATTGTTATTATTTTTTATGTGTATGTTTATGTGTTTTGTTTATTCAAATATTTTGTTCACTTGTTTTGTACATACATTTTAATTTTGCTTTAATAGTTTTGATTTTTAATTTGTTATAATAACTAAACACGCGATATTTATTAATGTTATTTTATTTTAACTAAAAAAAAAAAATTCCATTCTAGAATTTGATCTCATCTGCGCACCGACCGCTAAAATGAATAGACGTCCGGTCGAGCGCCTGCACTATCGCAGCGAACGTGCTTAAACGCACAACACAAAAACAAAACACATCGATTCAAAAAAATGCGTTAAATGCCAGTGCATTTTGTTTAATTATATTAAATGAATAGCATGTACTTGATTATTATATTTTTATTTTTTGCTGGTAAAAAACATACTTAATTTATTTAAAGAAACGGTAATATTAATAATAAAATAAAATAAACCGTGAATTTTCTGGTTTTGCTTTTTTCTATGATTTTTTTAAATTCGTAGCAGCCCTGAAAAAGGCAATTTTTCTAAGTGATTTTCACAATTTTTCTACACATTCTTAACGAATGCGTGCGTGCGTTCGCTGCGAGATCAAAATGCATTTGAAAACTGTAATAGAACCAAAATCTAAAATCATTGGCGATTTTCGGTCTGAGCACAGGCTCCGCCCACTTCTATAGGGGTAGTGCGTTAGACAAGGGGCGCAAATTTTTCCCGTTTTTTTTTTGTATTAAATAGTTTCGTACGTTTTATTTATATTTATTTTATTTAAAATAATTTATAAAATATTTATAAAATATTTATTTATAGATATTTTAGAAAATACGACGTAATAATAAGGGTAAAATGTTATCGTCATTATTTTATATTTGTATGTTTATTCGTTTCTTCGCTCGTTCGTGCGCGCGCGCGCGTGAGTGTGTGTGTGTGTGTGTGAGAGAGAGAAATGTGTATGCGTGTATGAATCAGAAAATGCCAAATTGCAACATAAGCAAAAAATATTAAAACACATGTGTGAATTTTGAATTATATTCGAAATAATTTTCATATTTTTGTCATTTTGTTTAATATTATATATTTTATATATTATATAATATTAAAAATATTATATATTATTAATTATATTATATTATATATATATTTTTTTTTTCGTTTCATTTTCATAATGCCTATGCGTATTGCATGCATGCATTTCACATTTTACATTCCACATTTCACATTTCTCTGATACGTTTTGTTTTG